GACAACACCACAGCGAGACGACGGTGGCGATGCAGTGGTGGTGCGAGGAGGAACTTCTTTGGAGATGCAAAAGGGAAGAGGAAGAACACTACGGAAGAAAATGCGTTCGCATTTAGTGTTTAGAATTTGAACTTACGCAAAGGCTATTACCTCGGTTAAGTGAAAGAACCGAGGCATATACTCCTTAGAAAATATTGAAAAAAAATTTAAAATACCAAATTTGAAATTATTTCACACTATACGCATCGGTTCATGGTTAAACCGATGTTGAAAGGCCCTACGACATCGGTTCTACTAAGAATCGAGACAATATGTCCTATTTTGAAAAGCCTATCACGTGAAAAGACTGATTTGCAAGGGGAGGCAGAGTTTTCTGCCTCGGTTGGTCAGAGTACACCCCTTTAGGCATTGGTTCCTAAGCAAATGAGACATATAGTTTCGCTAAAATTACAGAAATGTCACCACGTTAAAAATCACTTTTTTTACTAGTGTAATAGTGTTAGACAATTGGATTGCCTTTCATATTGTTATGATGATTTTCACAATTTGTATCATGTTATATCTTTCTTGAAATTTCAAAGCATATGAGATATTCGAGATTCATTCGAAACAAGTCTTAAAGTGTGTAAAAAAAGGAAAAAAAAAGTAAAATAACGTTGTCATTTGAGTCATTCGTTTTTCTTACAAATCATCAAATTCTTCAAAAAGTAACAAAAAAAAATGAAAAAAGAAGAGAAAAATGAATAAATAATGGGAAGTGAAGAATAATGGAGTGTCTTTCTTTTTTGTAGTCAAATATTTTAATCGAGAATAAAAAGTTAACATTTCTTTTAAGACATTTGTGTGCTTATTGTTTGAAAACCTCTATTCTTCATCTTCTCATAATAAAAGGATTTGTGCTAACAACATTGTTATTAACAACATTATTATTAACAACATTTTTAGCGTTAATTGGGTAATTCTTGAATTTTTCTAAAAAAATAAAAAAATTGTCAAAATATTTAAAGGGAAAAGAAAAGTAAAAAAAAAAGGATAAAACATAAGAAAGAAAAAAATAGAAAAGAAAAGATGACTCATGTTGAGGTCGTTGAGTTTTGACATTGAGTTAATCTTTTGAAAATAAAACAATTACGATTTGAAATGATGTGTGATCGTCTTTCTTTATCTAAAAAAACAAAAATATTCATTGCTACCTTGTTGAGCCAAAAATAAAGTATTTTTCAAATTTATTTTCCAACAAGGGTTATCATTACAATATAAGCTAACTCGAGATACATATCCAAAGCACTCAATGATCAAATAAAAAGAATTCATGAAAAAAAAGCCAAAAAGCTAAAAGAACCACAAAGTAATGACAAATGAAAAAAATGAAGTTAAAATTTGAAAAAAGCAAAGTGTTAAAAAATTCTTGAGAGATAGTAGATGCAATACCTAGATGCTAACCCTTGATTCAATAAAATAACCGACAAACATTCATTTGAGCCTTTTGTCTTGTATTTCAATACCTTTCAACCTTTAGTCATGTTACAAGTCAAATAAAAGTTCACAGATTAAAAAATGGTTGCTCTAATTTTGATAAAGCTTAATTTTGTGACAAGATGACATGGCCAACAATGCATTCATTAAAAATCAATTAATGAAACAAAAAGCAAATAATGAAAAAAGGAAATAAAATTAAAAAATAAATAATTTCTCGAAAAGAGGAGAACTTCCTGTTATATAGCCAAAAGAAAGTGAAAACAAAACCAATTGAGGTAATCCTTTTCAGCCATTCATTTCAATATCCATTACTTCTTTTAAAACAAAATCCATATTTCATTCAAAATTTTCTCCATATACAAAAACTAGGTTAGCTTTATAAGTTCCGCATGGATTTCTCGCCTTAACATTCATAGATCCATATCCCCGTATACTTTACCCATAAGCCAAATATGGTACAACATTGTGGGTATCTTGCATTTTTCACACTAACTTTCACATATTACAACTCTTTTGAGGAGTGTGTGAGGAATGTGCCCACATGGCTATTTAATCTCCTCTAAACCCTTTCAAACATGTCTCAATTTTCACTCGCCTATGAATTCAAACGCATGTGCACTAATGTTGTGAAAGAGAAATTCAAGCTTCTTAGAATAGACCTCGTGATGTGTAACATTCATCACTTTCATAAAATATTGAAAATAACAATGAGTTTGATGATTGCAAGGAGAACAATTTTTTACTTTGGTGTGCATAGAAAAATCAAAGGAACAAACCATAATAAATGTTTTCATCATGCATTCGAGCATTCATGGTTTTGATCCTTGGACAAGCGTTATGACACCTTGTGCTTGAAATGATAGGCATAATGATTTGTATGTTATAACATCTATCAACATATCATGTTTAAAAACATAACGTGAGTCACCATAATCATGCTACATACTTTTTCAAGTTTCTTTTTCATAGGTAAAAAAGAAAAATCAATATTACAAATTCATCTTTCAAGACGTTTCTTGGATTGATGGTCTCCTTCATTCATGTGAATAACCTACATATCTTTAAAACCCAACATACCTGCCCTAAAAGCATAGCTTGCATGAGAGTGTTGCTCCCTCCACCACCACCCCTTGCTCCCTCCACCTCTCAAACCCTCTACAATTTTGTTTAATTACTAAAGTAGCTTTTTTTACTTTTAATCCTATTTATTTACTTTATTTTGAAACCCTAAATTCCTATCTATTTTTACTCACCCATTTTCACTCGCGCAGCCCTCCCCCCCACTCTCCCAAGTCTCACTTTCTCTCTTTCCAGATTCCCACCCCCTCCAACTCTCACCGGATCCGTTTCTTCTCATCTTCCAACTCTTACTTCTCTTCTCCATATCCGTTTGGTTCTTCCTCATATTCCTGTCTCCATATCCGTTTGGTTTCATGGTACAGTGGTGTGACTTTTCGTGGTGTAGCGATGCGGGGTGTTTGCGGTGGTCATTCGACGGTGCAACGGTTCCAAACGATAATGAATATTTTATAACTAACAATAATGAATATTTAATGACTAACATCATAAAAAATAATTTTATTGACATTGATAAAACAATTCTAAATGACATCAATGGAAACATATATCATTAATGTTGGTAAAAAAAATGATTGCAAAATAAATCTGGAAATTAACCATAATCGATTGTTAACATGGGAGAAATATTCATTATTGTTAGTAAAATGTGTTCAAGCATATGTATCTCAATTTAAAAATGATAACGGAATAAAAAAAATGAAAAATGTATACATGAATTAATTAAAAAAATTTCAAAAGTTTAAAATTCTTACTATTTAATTATAATTTAAATTTTTCTAAATTTAAATGATCAAATTCCTTTCTTAAAGTTTTAAAATTTCAATATTTTAACTTTTTATTTAAATGATTATATAAAATGTTTCAACCTTTTTATAAAATTAACTATCCTCCACAATATTTTTTCTGAAACATTGCGACATATATTTCTTCCTCATGTATCAACATTTTTTTTATGTGAGATTGCTTAACTCTTCGTACGTTGGTGTGGGTTAGATAAACAATCAAAAAGTTCAAAAGATACAACAATGGAAAGAAGCATAAAAGACAGAGAGAGACAAAAGAAAATGAAACATAGAAACATGGATCCACCATTAAAATGGTTGTGTTTTTTGGATGATGAGATCGAAGAGAGAAAGAAACAACATAACTTTCAATAACAAATGTTTGTTGGTTAAGCATAAATCAGACCATCACATTCATGTAGGAGATTGAAGTGGGTAGAAGTTAAAAATTATTAACTCTAAAAATAAAATTATACTGAAGGGTAAAATAGGAATAAGAAGATGGAGGGAGGGATAAAACAGGAATGGGGAGGTGGAGGGAGCAACACCCCTTGCATGAACCATTAAGCCTAATTTACCTTACCTATAAAGCCCAATTTACTTGGCCCCTTAAGCCAAGTTTATCTAGCCTTAAAAGACCAACTTACTTGGGGTGTTGCTCCCTCCACCACCACACCTTTCTCCCTCCACCTCCCCTTTACTATTTTGCCCCTTAGTAAAATTTTATTTTTAAGGTTATTACTTTTTAATTTTACTCATTCACAACCTATTTCACTAATAACCTATTGTAATCTGGTGCATGAGTAAGATACTTTTCTTTCATTTTAACATTATACTTCTTCCTCTCTCGTCTGCTGTGAGATACTACAAGTTGCAAAGGTTGGTGGTGGTGGAAAGAAGTCTCCCTCTCGTGGTGGTGTAGTGTCACTCTCGTGGTGCAGTGCGTGGAGTGGTGCAGTGCATATGTGGTGCTTCCTCCTCCAGGTGCGTACTCGAATAAACCTTCAAATAAAACCCTAAAATAAAAAACGAAACCTTTAAAACGGAGGTGACATCCTTCAACGAATGTCAACATCCGTTTACCTTCAACGAATGTCAACATCCGTTTACCAAGTGCAAAGGTTTGTGTTTTTAGTTTATTCTTTGTTTTGGAAATATTTTAATAATTTAATTTAAATGTTTTGATTTATTATTTTTGAATATATTTTTAATGTATTTTAATAATGTATATTTATATTAGTTTATATTTATATTTTTGTATTTTGGATGTTATATATAATTAGTTTTTAAACGTAATGCTTTTGTAAAATATATATTTTTTATATATGATTTTTGTATCTTTAATTCTTTAACAATTTTATAATTATATAAAAAATTACCTATTACTTTATTTATATGAAATATATAATTTAATTATATTAATATTTTTATATTTCTTTGATTAATTATTAATTATGTTAATAAGACTCATTATAATTTTGTAGGTGATTATTATTTAAAATGGATGAATATCTTCATATGGATTCTCAAATTGGTTGTAGTTTGAAATCTGATTTGTCTTCATCAATTAGCAAAGTTGTAGAGGGAGATTTAACAAATAAATTTATAACAAATGAAATATTTCGTTCACGGGAGCACTTAACTCAATGGGTAAGAGGGATGACTTATGATTTAGGATTTGTTGTGGTAATTGTAAGATCTGACATAGCTACTGGTGTACGGGGAAGAAAAATGTTCGTCATACTTGGATGTGAAAGAGGGGAGAAATATCGGAAATACAAAGCCGATGCGGTGGCTAGTGTATACGGCACTCGTAAATGTGAGTGTCCGTTTAGATTAAAGGGTAAACCATGTTCAGATGGAGCCGGATGGGTGTTGAAGGTGATGTGTGGACATCACAACCATGAGTTGGCTGAAACTTTAGTTGGTCACCCTTATGCTGGCAGGTTAAATACGAGTGATAAGTCATTACTGGTTGATATGACAAAGAGTAAAGTTACACCTGCAAATATTTTATTAACACAAACAAAATAATGGTCGAATGTGACAACGATTAAACAAATTTACAACGCAAGGCAAGCATATAAACGATCATTAAGAGGGTCCAGAACTGAACTACAACAACTTATGATGTTGTTGGATCAGGATAAGTACATTCATTGGAGTAGGTGTGCTGATGATTCAGAGGTTGTTATTGACTTGTTTTGGACACATCCTGATGCGGTCAAATTGTTAAACTCATTTAATGTTGTATTTTTTATGGATTCCACATATAAAACAAATAGATATAGACTTTCGTTGCTTGAGATTGGGGGTATGACGTCTACAGGGTTAACCTTCTCAGCAACATTTGCTTTCTTGTCTACTGAAAGGCAGAGTAATTTCACATGGGCTTTGGAAAAGCTGAAAGGTTTATTTTTAACATCTGAGGGTGGTCCTAAAGTCATTGTCACTGATCAAGACCTGGCTTTGATGAATGCCATTGCAAATGTATTCCCTAAGTCATATAAGATGTTATGTCGGTTCCACATCCTTAAAAATGTTAAAGCTAAATGCAAAATGTTAGTTCATTCTATTGAGGTATGGGAAGTGTTGATGGATGCATGGGAAAATGTGATGGATTGTGATGATGAAAGCTTGTTTGCTGAGTATGTGAATGGTTTTCAATACGCAAGCAGTTCATGGCCTTTGTTCTTTGAATATGTGAATAAGACTTGAATTATTCCGTACAACACATACTTTGTAAAGTTCTGGACGAACAAAGTAATGCATTTAGGGAACACAACCACAAATAGGTATGTTGTAATGTTATTTTATTTATTTGTTTTGTAGATAAATATTTATTTGCACTTGTTGATGGTTTTTTTTTGTGTCAAGGCTGAATCTGCTCATTGGAGCCTGAATAATGTTTTGGACAATAGTATGGGTGATTTGTGTTCTTGGTGGGATAATATTCATAACGTCATTATCCTACAACACAACAAGATTAAGGCGTCATTTGAAAGTAGTCTGTTGCTCACGAGTGACCATTTTAAAGGCTATAGATATACAGAACTTATTGGACGTGTGTCTCGATATGCATTGGATCTCATTGCTAAGGAATTGAAAATAGTGCAGCAGATAGGATTGGACTCCTCAAAGTGTGGATGCGTATTGACACGTACATTTGGTGTCCCATGTGCATGTGAATTAGCACGATATGATCCTAGGATGATCCCTATAGGTGAATTTCATATCATGTGGCGAAGATTGCATTTCTCAAATGTTGAATTAAATGAAACTGAGCCTCAGTTATCCATTAAAGATGAGTTGAAACAAGTAGAAGAACGATTCAATGAGGTTGACATTGGCGGTAAAGTCACCATCAAGCAGAAATCACTTGAGATTGTTTGTCCTACATTGACATCAATGTTCCCTCCATTACATAAAGTGAAGACAAAGGGTGCACAAAAAAGTAAAGTTCAACGAAGTGAAAGGTCTACTACGCGGGATCCATCATATTTTGAGTATGTGGACGCCTTTCATTCAACCATAGAATCTTCATATGTGAGAAGTAAATTACAATCAAAGCCAAAAGCAGTGAAGAAAAGGAGAGTTCCACTGATAGACCAGTTTCATTCTACTACTCACCCCTTCATTGTGGACGTTGTTGATGTTGTGGCTGATGGTCACTGTGGGTATAGATGCATTGCTGCGTTGTTGGGACTCGGAGAAGATTCATGGCCCATTATCATGAATGAGTTGTACAAAGAACACAGAGCATGGCGTGATGAATATGCAAGCCTAGTAGGAGGCTATGATAGACTAGAAGAACTGAGGAACTCTTTGTTGGTGCAGTCACTGTCGGCGGTAAGTGTTTCCCATTTTATGTATTTTATTTATTACATTTGTTTTTCTCTAACAACTTCTTTTATTCATAACAGGCTAACATGAACAAGTGGATGACATTACCAGACATTGGTTATACAATTGCTAACCGATATAACGTTATCTTAGTGTGTTTGTCATACTCTCAAAATTATACTATCTTCCCACTATGTTCCACACCACCTTCTGATATAACTCAACATCGCTTAATTTGTATAGGACATGTTCATGGATGTCATTTTGTGCAGGTAAGTGCATTTTTTTATGATTTCATTTTATTGTAATTTGTATAATGCAGGTCTGACACAGTCAGACCCTCCTGAACCACTGAATGTACCCATCGACACAGTCAGAAGGGGATGCTGCATGTCTGACATTACTTACAACGTGAGCTCTAAAGTGCAACCAAACATGATCAATGGCCACTATATCTACATCTGGAATCGTAGTTGGTGATCGTGGAATGTCTTGCTGAAACCCAAATTGCCTCAACACACGCTCAGGCAAATGACGACAAAGGGTGTCACCAATCTGAATCCATCCAGAATACATACAGATGTTGAAGAATGGCCGAATAGCCCGATGCCCCTCATACGGATCCCACACAACTCCATTGTATGGCAGCGCATCCAACTGTGACTGAATCTCCGCGAGAGTGGAACTCTGCTAGGGCTCTGCCACCTCATGGCATGTGGTGTGGTATCATCGTAAGAAGTCACCAACCGCCTCCTCCCCATGCCAGGGAAATGTTCGTATATCCAACTCTAAAAAAATAATTATTCAATTAAATTTCATCCATCTTCGAACATGGAAATGAATACATGAAATAAATGTCAAAGTTATAACTGTACCTGAAATAGAGTCAAATATTCGGCCATCTGCTTCGTGGAGGCGAGACTCGCATCCCCGAGCTGCTCGTATAAATGGGCGAGTGTAGCAACACCCCAGGCATATCTGTCACACGCGTGTACGTCTCTAAATAACAATAAGTAAGATACGCGTATAGAACTGACACTCTTATTTGCAAAAATCGTGCATCCTACTAGATGCAAAAAATATGCTCTGGCAACATAGTCGCAAAGCTACGACTCACACCTCTGAACATATATCTCTCTAAGCCAGCTGAGTCTGACTTTCGGACCACGTGCGTCCTCCATCTCAGCACCTGTTGTGCCACCATCAACGCCGAGCAACTGCAGAAGGGCTGTACGAGCCTCCTCAAACTCCAACTCCTGCAAATCACACATTTGTCCCATCACGGGCAAGTGAAGTAATGCCGAGATGTCATCAAGAGTAATCGACATCTCCCCTATAGGGAGATGGAAACTACTAGTCTCGAAATGTCACCTTTCTATGAATCCGAGGAGTAACCCCTTATCAACGTAATCATAACAAATCCCTGTGAGAGACATCAAATTGGAATTGAACACAATGTGTTGAATTCCCTCGTGGCATGGTCCTAANTCTCATTGCTAAGGAATTGAAAATAGTGCAGCAGATAGGATTGGACTCCTCAAAGTGTGGATGCGTATTGAGACGTACATTTGGTGTCCCATGTGCATGTGAATTAGCACGATATGATCCTAGGATGATCCCTATAGGTGAATTTCATATCATGTGGCGAAGATTGCATTTCTCAAATGTTGAATTAAATGAAACTGAGCCTCAGTTATCCATTAAAGATGAGTTGAAACAAGTAGAAGAACGATTCAATGAGGTTGACATTGGCGGTAAAGTCACCATCAAGCAGAAATCACTTGAGATTGTTTGTCCTACATTGACATCAATGTTCCCTCCATTACATAAAGTGAAGACAAAGGGTGCACAAAAAAGTAAAGTTCAACGAAGTGAAAGGTCTACTACGCGGGATCCATCATATTTTGAGTATGTGGACGCCTTTCATTCAACCATAGAATCTTCATATGTGAGAAGTAAATTACAATCAAAGCCAAAAGCAGTGAAGAAAAGGAGAGTTCCACTGATAGACCAGTTTCATTCTACTACTCACCCCTTCATTGTGGACGTTGTTGATGTTGTGGCTGATGGTCACTGTGGGTATAGATGCATTGCTGCGTTGTTGGGACTCGGAGAAGATTCATGGCCCATTATCATGAATGAGTTGTACAAAGAACACAGAGCATGGCGTGATGAATATGCAAGCCTAGTAGGAGGCTATGATAGACTAGAAGAACTGAGGAACTCTTTGTTGGTGCAGTCACTGTCGGCGGTAAGTGTTTCCCATTTTATGTATTTTATTTATTACATTTGTTTTTCTCTAACAACTTCTTTTATTCATAACAGGCTAACATGAACAAGTGGATGACATTACCAGACATTGGTTATACAATTGCTAACCGATATAACGTTATCTTAGTGTGTTTGTCATACTCTCAAAATTATACTATCTTCCCACTACGTTCCACACCACCTTCTGATATAACTCAACATCGCTTAATTTGTATAGTACATGTTCATGGATGTCATTTTGTGCAGGTAAGTGCATTTTTTTATGATTTCATTTTATTGTAATTTGTATAATGCAGGTCTGACACAGTCAGACCCTCCTGAACCACTGAATGTACCCATCGACACAGTCAGAAGGGGATGCTGCATGTCTGACATTACTTACAACGTGAGCTCTAAAGTGCAACCAAACATGATCAATGGCCACTATATCTACATCTGGAATCGTAGTTGGTGATCGTGGAATGTCTTGCTGAAACCCAAATTGCCTCAACACACGCTCAGGCAAATGACGACAAAGGGTGTCACCAATCTGAATCCATCCAGAATACATACAGATGTTGAAGAATGGCCGAATAGCCCGATGCCCCTCATACGGATCCCACACAACTCCATTGTATGGCAGCGCATCCAACTGTGACTGAATCTCCGCGAGAGTGGAACTCTGCTAGGGCTCTGCCACCTCATGGCATGTGGTGTGGTATCATCGTAAGAAGTCACCAACCGCCTCCTCCCCATGCCAGGGAAATGTTCGTATATCCAACTCTAAAAAAATAATTATTCAATTAAATTTCATCCATTTTCGAACATGGAAATTAATACATGAAATAAATGTCAAAGTTATAACTGTACCTGAAATAGAGTCAAATATTCGGCCATCTGCTTCGTGGAGGCGAGACTCGCATCCCCGAGCTGCTCGTATAAATGGGCGAGTGTAGCAACACCCCAGGCATATCTGTCACACGCGTGTACGTCTCTAAATAACAATAAGTAAGATACGCGTATAGAACTGACACTCTTATTTGCAAAAATCGTGCATCCTACTAGATGCAAAAAATATGCTCTGGCAACATAGTCGCAAAGCTACGACTCACACCTCTGAACATATATCTCTCTAAGCCAGCTGAGTCTGACTTTCGGACCACGTGCGTCCTCCATCTCAGCACCTGTTGTGCCACCATCAACGCCGAGCAACTGCAGAAGGGCTGTACGAGCCTCCTCAAACTCCAACTCCTGCAAATCACACATTTGTCCCATCACGGGCAAGTGAAGTAATGCCGAGATGTCATCAAGAGTAATCGACATCTCCCCTATAGGGAGATGGAAACTACTAGTCTCGAAATGTCACCTTTCTATGAATCCGAGGAGTAACCCCTTATCAACGTAATCATAACAAATCCCTGTGAGAGACATCAAATTGGAATTGAACACAATGTGTTGAATTCCCTCGTGGCATGGTCCTAACTTATTTACTTTTTTTTTTCCGTGGGAAATCAACTTCAGTGTGTCCCTCGATCCTACACATCAATATTTAATAAAATTTCTATTAAAAAAAATAAAATAAATTTTATTTTTGCACTCACCCGGCCTTCTGAAATAGCATAAGCTACATGCTCAACATAGTGCGTCAGCAATGAATCATCACGTGGACCTCCAGGAAATCCACCGACATCCTCTTGTATGTCATGAACATCCGCATGCTCCTCCTTATTGTCATCGTTGTTAAGGGCCTCAAATGCATCCTCCTCACCATGAGTCTCATACGCCTCATATGTTTGTTCCTCAACGGCTCGCTCCTCGGCTATGGGGTCATCCTGGATAAGAGTTGCACGACCTCTACGAGCAAAAACGGTAGGTCTTCTCCGAGCTTCGCCCTGCGACGAACTCTCTCCTCGAAAACTAAAAGATGCACCACATGTTCTTGTCATTTCTAACAATAATTTATTTGTTTAATTTCAAAAATTAAAAAAATTATTGTTTTAATATCATTAATAAACTATAAAAAAATACAATTCAAAATAAATTAAACTAATAATAATTAAGTTATTAACTAAAAAAAATTAAATAAAATAAACAATTAGCTAATTAATTAAAAAAATATATTTAAATACATTTCCATTTAATTTTTATTAAATTAATTATTATTTCAAATACAAATTTACTATAAATAAATTAAATAGAAATACAAATTCACTAACATTAAATATAATTAAATTAAGAATATTTATTTCAAGAAATAAAAATAATTTAAATATATAAAAGTTTACTATCTAATTCAAACTTAATCAATTCATTTAAAAACTATAGAAAAATTTATAAAATATTGAAATAATAATCTAAAACGTTAAAGAAATCTAAAAATAACTATATATATCAAATAACTATAACTATATAAATATATATATATATATATATATATATATATATATATATATATATATATATATATATATATATATATATATATATATATATATATATCAAATATTACTGTTTAAAAAAATTAAGAAAAAATATATATATTCCAATTGTAATAATTCTAAAAACAATTAAAATATTAAAGAAAAAAAAGTACAGCATCCCGAGAGCCAAAACGGATGTGGGATATCCGTTTGGCCTTCAACGGATATCCGACATCCGTCGACGGAAATCGGACATCTGTCAAAGGCCAAACGGATATCCCACATCCGTTTTGGCCTTTCGCGGACATTGTTCAACAGCACACGATCGAACCAGCGGCGAGAAGAATCCATTAACAGTAACCAATACAACACATATTCAAACACAAATATTAATAAATCCTAAACTAAACTACCTAATATAAAAAAATGAAGAGAATGGTGAAAAAAACCAACCTGAAAGAAACGAAAACTGCAAAGAACTCCTCCTCCTCACGCCGGTCGACGCTCTGGACGCTCCTCGACGCTCCTCCACACCACGGTGGCAATGGAAGCTTTCAAACCAAAAAGAAACTGGGAAGAAAAACGAATGGAAGCGCGTGAGGTGGGGAGGTGAAACAAAAATGGGAAAAGGGGAAGAGAGTTTCGTGGGATGAGTGGTGGGTGGTGGGTGGTGGAAAAGTAAAATTAGGATTTCAAATTATTTAAAATAGGGTAAAAGTAAAAATCTTTTTAACTTAAAGATATAATTGTATTTAAAATAGTGTGGGGAGGTGGAAGAAGTATACGGTGGTGATGGAGAGAGCAACACCCACTTACTTGGCTTCTTAATCCTAGTTTATCTTACCTCTAATGTCCAGCTTGCCTGGCCCAATAAGCCTAGTTTACCTTGTTCTTAAAACCGAACTTGTATGGCGCTCATGCCTAATTTATTATGGTTCTTATGATCCTTTAAAGCCTAGTTTATCTTTCCTTTTGCACAAAGTCTAACTTTTGTTCGCACCATCATTTACTTCTTTCATTTTTTTTAAACTCTGATAAAACTAATGTTTCTATTGTTATTTATTTTTTATTTCGATAATATTAAAATACCAAAAATTTCTTCTTATCTATTAAACCTATGTAAATAGCATAAGCTATCAACACCTAATTTTCAATATTCATTAATTCAAAATGATTTTTTTTTATTTTTTATAAAATACTTTTAATGTTTATCTCTTTCTTAAACTCAACTTTTAAGTAAAAATGAGTTGTATTCTTACTATTAACTATACTTTTAGGTTTAGTAATAAATGTGGATTGAACTAGGGATATCATCAATATGAGTTAAGGTTTAACTATTTCATTCTCATTTGTTAAATAAAAAATTATTTTGTTTTCATCTTCATTCTTAATAGATCTGAACTTTTTATTAACATTCTCATTCCTATTGAAGGACGAGTATATCCGTACTAGTATTTATATCTATCCTATACTATTTTAAATATTAATTAAATATTTAAAAAAAAATTAATAACAAAGAAAACATCATATTATCAAGTATTAAATATCAAAATATACATTTTTTTAATATCAAATATCAAGAAAAAAATTATAATTATATAAAAATAGAATAAAAAACTCAAATAATAATAAGATAAAGGTCAAATTAAATCTCTTAAGTGTTTTCATTTTTATGAATATCAGTATGAAATATGAACAAATATTGAGATGAGTCTAGGGATGCAGACAAAACAAAAGGATACGTACATTACTATCTATCTCCATATCTAATTTAAAAATAAATATTACACATATATATCTAATATAAAAAATAAATTTTACGTTATCAAAATCGGTACAAACATACGATATCCAAAAAGACTTCATTCATTCGGATATTTAAAAAATATAATCGGATAACGTCTTAATTTTAACTTTATTTTTTGTGACCTTTTTTTTTATCTTGTAGTATTTTCTTTTTCTGTTTAAAAAACTTGATTAAATTTTGTTATGTAATAACGTTACGAATAAGAAACGTGAATTCATATGTTATAGTACCAAAAAACAGTTTTAAGTTACAATACTTTTTTCATCAATAAAAAATTAATTAATTATATATAATAATGCGTGCTTATAGCAGAATAAGGTTGTGGAGTGCTCTAATCTTTTAAAAAATATAGGTTTAATTGATTCGGAGGTCCTGTTTGTACAATTTTGCATCAAGTAGGTCTCTGTATTTTGAAGTAGTTCAATTTGGTCTCTAATTATGAAAAATTAAAGCAATAAAGTTTGTGCCGTTAAATTCTGTAAACAGCGTCAAAATTGTTGTCTGGTGGCTAGGTGAGTTGACATTTGAAAACACGTGGCACATAAAGAAGACAACCCAGTTGCCACCACTACGATCTCGCCGTCATCACCATTCACGACCATCAAAGCCACCGCAGAACCGGTCATCACAAGCGCTAGCACCATGAGCAACCTCAGGCTACCACGCTTCTCGCGACCTTCTTCCACGGACACTATCATCTTCCTCGCGTGCCATTCTCGCCGGTAGCCAACCATCTCCACAGCGCAGGTCGCCGTCGCTAACACATGCGCCGTTGCCACCTTCTTCATCTTCTCCACCTGGAAATCAAAGGAACATAATCGCAACTCTTCTCTTCCATCGCGAAGCAAGAATGCGTAAGTGTCGACATCACTTTCGGACCTGCAAAGCCAAACCAAAAACCCAGAATCGCATTACTTCTCGCGCAAGAACTCGAAGCCATTGCAACACCCACCTTCATCGCAGCACTCCGCCATTAGCGAACCACCAGCAGCTTGCACCAGCATCGAACATCAACACCTTCATCCATGAAACCCATTCGTTTCTGCGTCGCACCTGCAAAGAAGAACACCAAATCAATTTCATCAGTTCGTCTTCTCTCGTGTTTTCCTCTCGCGCCTCCACATCGAAATCCAGAAACCTGCAAGAATCAAACCAAGAACCAGAACGAGTTCAATTTGCCTGAAACACCATTAGGTTGTTCGCAGCGCCGCGGAGGAGAAGAGGCGAAACCCTTTCATGAAGAGAGACTACGTGCTAGAGCAGGAGTATTCCCCCAATTTGAAACCCTAATTGGGAGGGAAGAGTGCTGACACGTGGCAGCGCATTATCGTCAATTTAAGTCCACCTATTAAACTCTTTATGTGACACGTGTTTTCAAATGTCACCTCACCTAGTCACCAGGCAACAATTTTGACGTCGTTCACAGAATTTAATGACACATACTTTATTGCTTCAATTTTTCATAATTAGAGACCAAATTGAGTTACTTCAAAATAAGGGACCTACTTAATGTAAAACTGCATATAGATTCGAATGGATTAAACCAAAAATATATATAATAATGTACGAGTCTCGAAAAAAAAAATCAACAGAATAACCAAATTATTACGTACCGACCTTAAATACAAAAAATATCTTAAGAAATTCAAAATCATTGTCCACCCTAAATATAATATATTTAAAGATGCCAAAATGCAATTTTCTTACTGATCACATATCTTGTATATAACCAAAGGATAATCTGGTCACCTAAATACTTGAAAAACTAAATTAAGTTAGAATACTTAACTAATCAATCTTCTTTGTCACACTAATAAGATTTAGATTTAGCATAAAGTTAATTTTCCTAAAACAATGAGAACTGTCTCAAATATCGTGTATATGTGCATTTAATCTGTACTGTATTTTACTAAAACAAAAGAAATATTTAATTATGATGATTTTTTCATTCATAAATTTAATATTGATAATGAATTTATATATTTAAAATGATAATTAATTTTAAATATTTAATAATGGTAATTAAACGTACCATTTGTTTATTAATAAATTAGAGGCTTGTTACAGTTTTTTACTCCAAAGAATTATTATTCCTTTTTATTTTTTTTAATTTTTATATGAAATTTAAAAATTATAAGAACCAAATATTAAAGAAGTACTATTGAAACCATAAGTTATTTAGAATAGCTTATGATAAAATCGCCTGTTTTTTTAACTTGTTTTTTTTATAATTAATAAATATAAAATCGCCTTGTTTTTTTTAACTTGTTTTTTTATAAGTACATATTTAAAATATTCTAATGTAGAATAATCTAGTAATTGTATTTTATAGTTTTTCTTTTTAAAGTATAAGCTAATTTATATTTCATAATCATAATTTAAACAAAAAAAAACCAGTTAATTAAAGAAATTAAAATTTCCGTTGATCTGAATTATCTTTTAAATTCATTTTAGCTTTTCACTAACAAAGGCAAAAAAAAGATACTACTTTAAAAAATAAGAGAGTTATATTTTAGAAAATTCATAACAAAATGATGATTTTTTAAATAAGTCATAACAAATATCAAACAATTTTTTTTAAAAAATTGATTAAAAGAAGTTAGAAAAGGAGAAAACAATCCTCTCGTGTTCAATTTTTACATTAGGTGAAACTTTATGATTAAATTGCTCAAATTACTCCTCAAATATAGTGAAAATACATAAACATCTGTTTTATAAA